AAACATGTCCACGTTAGCCTATAATTATTCCTTGTTTATATTATATGATATATACGGTTTTTCTATTTTAGTTTTATATATACTTTAGATTTAGAATAAATAATATTAAATTAAAAGTTAAAGTTTTAAATTTTAAAGATTTAAACTAAGTTTGGAATCATTATTATTTTTTATTTTCGTTAAATAAAGGGATGAGATTCATAAATAATCCAAATTCCTTCAACGAAATGCAATTTACTATATATTCTGTATTCTGAGTTTTGAGATGTCCTTTTTTGTCATTACATGCATTTGTTTCATGTTTTTTGCTGATAAAAAGGTAGATCACATAACAAACAATTGATTGAGATAATTAAGTTATAGCAATAATTTGTAAAACTTATTAAGTAATTTTAATGATGAAATAAAATGTTATTTTCCGAATAACTTAAATCTAAACCGTATTTACAAAGTAAACATATATTATCAATAAATAAATAATTTTAAATTATAAATTACATAAACTTATACTATATAAACATATTCGGTCTCTCTGTGCTTATAATATGATTTTTTATACGTACTAAATGGGACACATTGCCAATCCGTTTGGTATAGCAATTTAAAAATTTTCTTTCCGAAGCTAACAAATCCATAACGTGAGGGATTAAAAAGTATATTTCTCATCTAATATCATGTTTTGGTTTCATTTTGATCAGTCGTCATAAAAAATTATCAAAACTAATGACGTGATATTTTTTTCCTAATGATGACGTGTCATTATCATCGTTAATTTTTAACGATGAGTGACCAAAAGTAAATCAAAACGTAACATTAAGTATGATTATGATAAAAATAGTTAGATGACCAAAACAGATCTACACAAATAGTTGGATGACTAAATACATAGTTTACTCTATAGTTAATTATCAGAGGACTAAATCCCCTAAAAATGCATAGTTAGAGGACCTTATATCAAATTAGACAAATAATAAATTAGTCAGCGCTATGGCAAATGCGTCAACTTTTTTTAAAAGAAATTTATTTTTATTTTATTTTTATTAATACTTAGTAAGTATAAATAGTATATGTTTTAAAAAAACTTTTAATTATCTGATATTTAACAATCACATTTGATATTCTCGTGATTGATTTAAAACCTCAAAAAAATAACATTTTTTTTTACAATTAAGTTTGTTGGTTCGTGCAGAAGTTATCGTTTTTAAATAGGGTGCTACGTCTGCTTCTCCGGATTAGGGTAGGTTGTCCATGAATATGAAGTTCTTGCAGTCAACGTTTCTCTGCTCTCCTCAAAAGTCTAACCAGCGCCATTTGCAGAGCCACATTCCTCTCAACTTCAAAAATGGATTCCTCAGAGAAAGAAGGACTCTTTGTCGAAGAATCTGCCAACGTTTCAAACCAGACCAACCTTAATTCAGCGGAAACCTGCAAGAAAAGCAAATATTTTCTCGGTCTTCCTCGAGACAATTCAATATACAGATGCTATCTTCTCTGCTAAATCCAACTTTCATCATTGGGATAGTTCTAGTCTACGGCCTCAACCTAGGCTTCTCCAGGTCTTTCTTCAAAGTAGTCACGGATTACTATCGGAAAGATGTTCAGAAACTCCAGCCCTCTGGTTCAACTCTACATTGGTTTATACTATATTCCATGGATCATGAAACCTATCTGGGGTTTACTCACTGATGTTTTTCCGATAAGGGGATATAGAAGAAGACCATACTTTGTGGTTGCTGGTATTCTCGGGGGTGCTTCTGCACTGATGGTTGCTGTTATTGGTAAATGGTAACTTGCCTGCAGCTATAGCATTGGCTTGCTTGATTGGGGTTGCAGCAGGCATGGCTATAGCAGATGTGACAATTGATGCATGTATTGCTAGGAACAGTATCGTGGTCCGATCTTTGGCTCCGGATATTCAGAGCCTTTGTGGATTTTCATTTTGTTCCTCTGCCGGGGCTTTAATTGGTTACTCCACCAGTGGATTTTTTGTTCACCATCTCGGACCTCAGGTTAGCTTCTTTTATCTATTTCATTTTTTTCAACTTATAATCATCTTTATCATTATTTGGGACTGGATTTAGGTGGCCGAATATTGAAAAACTGGTCAGAATCACTAGATTTGATCTTAGAAATTGTAGTTTTGCTTGTGTTGAAAGTCATAAATTGGACTTTTGATTATGTTTTTAGTGAAACCAATGTAGTTAAAACCCTGCAAACATTCTTCTTTATTACAGGGAGCTTTAATTCTTTTGGCAATGCCACCAGTTTTCATCACAGTGTTGGGACTCGTGATTTATGAAATGAAATCATCCAGCCTTAATTATGAGAAGCAGAAGGTTAGATTTTCTAATTTTCCAGATAATTATGTCCTGCAAAATACTATGTTGTTGCAATTTGGTAAAACATTTGAGTGCATGCAGACAATGGAAAACTTAGGGGTTGCCATAAGGGGAATGTATCAGACAATCAAGTTCCCCCAAGTGTGGAAGCCATAGCTCTACGTGTAATGGGGTAAGGGGAGGTATGATAGTAGGCTGCCCAATACCAGGTTGAGAGCAGATTCCGTGGTAGACTTCCGAATTATGAAATGCCTTCCGTGAGACTCGATCTCACGACCACAAGGTTAAAAACCTTGTACTCTACCAACTGAGCTGGACGGGCATCATATACTCAATTGGTGCAATGGCTTCAATGGTGGGGTCGTGATCTATAACAAGACTCTCAAAGGCCTTCCATTCAGAAACCTACTATTTTTCGCTCAGCTCCTTTACGGCACATCCGGAATGCTCGATCTGATCTTCATTCTTCGATGGAACTTGGCAGTCGGAATTCCAGATTACTTCTTTGTTATCACAGAGGAATGCGTCTCGCGAATTATAAGCAGAATACGGTGGATTCCCATGATGGTTCTAAGCACAAGGCTTTGCCCGATAGGCATTGAAGGCACGTTTTTTGCATTGTTAATGTGCATCGATAGCCTTGGTTTCTTGACCTCCAAATGGGGTGGAGGAATGGTTCTTCACATGTTTCATGTCAGTAGTACAGATTTTACAAACCTGTGGATGGTTATTCTCATTAGAAACATTCTGAGAATTGCAACTCTGGGTTTGATTTTTCTTGTCCCCAAGGCTGACCAGTCAGATGCTTTGATTCCTCCAGATATTTTGACAATGAATTCGACTGTCGTACCGGATGACGAGGGTTTGGAACTTGTCCCTGAGAATGAGAGAGATGAAGTCTAGCGCTTCCAACCAATCGGCAATGTACTCATGATCATTAGGGACACTCATGGTCATGGATATACCATTTTGTATAGTAAAAATGGATGATTCTTTCCCTTTTTTTAATTTAAAGAAACAATTAATTTCACTTTTCCTTTTGCTACCTAAAAATACTAACTACTAGAAGAAGGTGACAAAATGAGGAGAAATTATTTGATAGACAATTCCCACCACGTTATTAATGGTCTCAACCAATTAAATAAGTTCACGTCAATCTTTTTTCTGTCATTTTTACTCATAAAATTTATTTTTCAAATAAGTTTCTTTATTAATGTATATTCAAATTAAACTTAAATTGAGGGATTGTTTTTAAAGTATTCATTAATGCCCTTTTCTTCTTCACTTAGTGTCTTATAATGGGAATGCTATTGAAACTGAAAATCGTCGCCGCCTAAAGCCACCATATATTTTTTTGAAGCAATAAAGCCACCATATTTGTTTGTATCAGTGCCGGAATAATTTGAAGAATACTAATAGCGCAACGTGCATGTATTTTGAAATTTACTTTTAACTATAACAACATTTAGCTTTTTATTAATATTTTTAATAAATTAAAAGGAAAAGAAACAGATGTTAAGGGAAAATCTTGAGAAAATAATGATAAAAAAATAGTATTCTTCATATAAAATATGAGAAAATTATCGATGTAGCTACTGAGAATATGGGAAAGGGTAAGTGGATTTGATCCACATTTTTTATAGTCAAGCGAACTGCAAATCATTCTGACACTAGTACAAACTGAATATGGTGGCTTCGAGCGGCGTCAGAGCTTTCAGTTTTAATGGCCGACATTCGTATCAAAAGACACTTGAGTGAAGAAGAAAAGGACATTAATGAATATCTTAAAAATATTCCCTAAATTTAAGTTTAATTTTGATATGCATTAACAAAGAATTTACTTGGAAAATAAAATCTATGAGTAAAAATGGTATGGAAAAAAAAGATTGATGTTGACTTATTTAATCGGTTGGGACTATTGATGACGTAGTGAGAATGATCCGTCAAATAATTTCTCATGGCATTCGATGTCCATTCAACCTATTTAAAACATTAAAATTTTAAAAAAATTATTTAAAAGAATTAAAATTAATCAGTAAAAGAAAATAATTTAACCTGCATCATCATCTGGCATTGAATTTATGAAATAATTATAAAATTTAAAAATAGAGTGTGGAGTTTTTTGTATCCATAGATGATTTAAGCAACCTTTCATGCCAACCAACCACCCAAGGAAAATCATTAGGACGATTTTGTTTATCTTAATTGACGATAATGGAAGATATTTGTTTACTGTCAGAAGAAGTACCCAAATTCAAAGCACCTTTCGTTTGCATTGTACATATTCAACACTGCTGCTATAAGTGAATTGTTATGGTTTGCAGGTTTCGTGAGTTTCATTAAGTTTTCAAAACCCGTTCCGCTCGATGCACGCTCTGCGGCTGGATGAAAACTAAATTTCTCTGGTGACAAATTTGCAGCATATTCAGCAACTTCTACAGCATAAAAATTCATTTTTTTCACCTGACATAGAAAAAACATACTATAAGTTATTATATGCATAACTTACATATACCAATGTCAATATGTTTCAACATAACTGACTAACTAGAAGCACATTTCAGTTTAGCATTCATGCTAACCGAAGGGTAGAATGGAAATGGAAATGGCGCAGTCAAGATAAGGAAAGTTGAATGAAGAGATGACCTTGGAGCAGTAGGAACTTGAATCGTTAAGAAAGCAATATTGAATGATGTTGGTTCAAGTCAAGCAAATAAATAGGTAAAGAGGAGGCTGGTACAAGTCATTTCATTTCTGTCCAGTGAATTAAGTATTTGAATGTAAAGGTTCATCGGTATATGAAGTAATAATGATGAGGCAGCTGTCCCTGGAAAATGGTTGAAAAAGTGCTTTGGTATATGAAGTAATAATGATGAGGCAGCTGTCCCTGGAAAAGATACAACTTCGGAACCTTAGTTGAGCTCAATCAACCTGGTTATTCCAAGTTAATTTGTAATTGTTACTTCTTGAACAAACTATCTTCCATTATCAACGCTGTGAATCAGAGATGCCATTTCGATGTTGTCCGGTTCCGGAGTTTCAGCCTCCTCGTTGGTACTCAAAATGAAAGAGTTGGGGTCACTTTTGGGTACCAAAAATAGCAGACAAATTGGACAAACTCTCAGTATGTTTCGGATCAATATGACCAGCCAGAGATCATCAAATTTTATCCTTGTAACATTCAACACATGAAGCAACAATCCACCTCCCCAGGAAGCGGAAAGACCTCCGAAGTTATCAATCGACATTAGCAAAGCAAAGAAAGTGCCCTCGATACCTGAAGGGCAAAGCTTGGAACTGAGTACTAGAAGTGGCATCCATTTGAGGCGTGTGATCATTTGGGAAACAGCTTCACCGATCACGACGAAGAGATAATCTGGTATGCCGAATTTCAGATTCATTCGTTGCACCAACATCAAGTCCAGCATTCCTGCTACACCAAATAGCAATTGTGTCCAGAACAGCATGTCTCTCAAGGGCTGATTCTTCAACACATTTTGGTAAAGTATTGCCCCCAAGAGGGCACCTATGGCACCCATTGAGAAAATGTAGCCAACAGTCTCCTGCAAAAACCATACTAATTACTGAAGAAGTCTCTAACAATCCAAGCATATGCATTTAACGGTCCAAATTTCGATCGAACTATCGCTTCTTCTCAAGATAAAAGTGATCAAAAGGATAAACCTTAGAGAAAGATGGGCCCTCCTTAGCATCTGCGTACCAATAAAACAATCCTTCATTTATGTTCAAGCTCGCTGCCAAGGATAAATACATGTATAAACATGGCCTCCAAACGTCGGGGCCTTTTAAGGTTGTCCACATAGCTTTTGCAGCATCAAGGAATTTCCGGTTTACCTGAGTCAGGAAGAGAATATTGAAGTATGGAAATTAGAGCAACTGAGGGTTCGATATACAAGAGTCAAAGAACACCTCATTGTAAGCAAAGTTGGGCACTTGGGGCTCCGAAAGCAGCATCCCGACTAAAGATACTAGTGCAGCGGGGAGAATTAGCAATCCAAACACCCCCTGTCATGGATGAAGATAAATCCTTAGCCTCTATGAAGAAGAAATGTTGCAGAATTTGACTACAAAAATCAAATAGCAGCCGACCTCTGGACCGATCAGGTGTATAAAAACACCACTAATAGAGAACCCCAGCAATCCTCCAAAAGAGTAGCTCAAAGCGCACAAGCTTTGCATGTCAGCTGCACGAGAAGGAAGAGTAATGCTATTCTGCGCCACGCATGCATCAACGGTTACATCAGCTACAGCTACCGCCACATTTCCTGCTGTTAATGTCAGGATGGCAAATACCAGTTGCATCTTGCTTTTCAGTGATATGAAAAGCATTGAAACAACACCAAGCATACCTGTGATAAACATTTTCAGGTCAACAGATGGAGAATCAGAAGACTACTCATCAAATAATAATCATAATAACCAATAGTGTTATTTCCTAATTAATGTCTAGCCAATTATGTTATTTGTAGCAAATATAAAGCATTTTCCATCTCAGGACAATAAGATCTCAGGACAACAGATGCTGAATGAACATTCAAAATATGCAAGCGGTATAATACATGATATGTACGCACAGATACAAATGTAATGACAGTATCTGATAGGAAGAAGAGCACGAAACAGAAACACGTCGGTTTACCGGATAATACAAAATAAGGTCTTCTTCGATACCCCATTATTGGAATAACATCTGTGAGAAGACCCCAAACAGGCTTGATGATCCAAGGGATGGAAGTAATCCCTGAATAAACCTGAGCCTCGGAAGGCTGCACCTTCTGAACATCCTTCATGTAATACTCGGTTCCGATGCGAGAAAGAGCACCTCCGAACCCCTGATTTATCCCATAAATGGACACAACTCCAAACACGAAGCTCCAGTGCATTTCAACTGCAAGCATCTTAAACCAGTGTATTGGACCCCAAAACAAGTAACATAGTCCTTGGGGTTCATCATCTTCCTCCACAGCCTTCCTACAGGCTTCTTCTATATTCTCTTCTTCCACCATATATATAGCTTAGTGAAAGTCAACAATGACTTTGGTCATGTATATTCGATCAACAGCAACACTAGCTGCGATTCCTAGAACAATGATGAACCTTATAAATTTCCAGATGAGGGAAAAAAAGATTGGAAAACGAGTTGACCAATAACAGATGTTCCCTCAAATGGATTCTATGAACTTTTCTTACACACTTTCCATTAGTATCTTCAGGAGGGAATATATCAACAAATGTAGGTCACAAGCAGATGATGGATGGGATCTTTTCCCAGATGGAAAACAGGGTCTTTGGATACCAGATTTGACCAAGCCCTGATCTGTTCATTAAAGATGAAGAGAAACAAAACACACCAGAAGAAGGGGAAAAATAGTTCAATTGCTAGCTGGTAAGTTTATTTTTAATTTTGTTTTTTTGGCAACATGGAGTTTGATTATTCTACTAATATTAGGTAAGGTCATAAATTATCTCATTCATAAGTTATGTCATTGACTTGTTTTTTTTTCTCTGTGATGAGCCCCATAGAAGATGCTCAAGTAGCCAATTAGAAAACATTATTATGCAACTTGGGTTAGTTTCGATGATAATAGTAAATCTGGATTGAGTTTTGAAATTTGTGTAAATCCTTTTTCGTATCGAATTTTTATGCAGTGATTAACTAAGTTTTTATTAAAATAATACCAATTGTCAAATTATCTATTAGCACTGCGCGTTTTTATTTAGATGAGAGGTTCAATCAATATTTTAAAATATTGAAATTTAAAAAAAATTAAAACACGATTCAATGACACATTTTATCACAACAGCTTCCAGCTGATGCCAAGATTCCTCTGTCAGCTTGTCTTAAAACATGAGGTGAAAGAGTCCCAAGAAGTTGTATGGGTATGAATGTCACACCACTCCACCAAACACTCCATATATCCACTTCAGCTATCCATGAGCTTCCATATATCACTCCATTCTCCTTGAGAACCTCATGGATCCTGCACATATCCCTATCTCTTATGATAGAACCGATAGAAGAGAAAAAAGGGAAGATGCTCAGTCTCTGCTCTTCGAGGTAACAGAGCTTTCGGATAGGGGATTTGATGGAAGGCATTTCTCCTTGTGCCTGCAACCTTGTGCTTGGGCGGAGTCTATGCATGATCCACTGCCGTTGCAATGAACACAACAAACTTCATAAGAGTACATAGGAGATTGTGATTTCGAAACCAACAAGTACTCTCTTGTTACTCATTTTACTCTTAAGTCTATTGGTTTTTTTCATTTCATAGATTAAATAATCATATTCCATATTCCATATCCGTATTCATATCCTAATATATGCCAACTACAAATGTTGAACATAGATATACCTAAAGAAAAATGAAATGTCCAAATAACACGAAACCGAACTTGTTTCAGGAAAAATTGAATTATTCTCTTCTCATATATGAACACAAAATCAAACTTGTGTTTGGTCAAATAGAAAAATTCTCATGTAGAAAAGAATATTGAAATAACAAATCTACCTAGCCAAACGTCAGTTGAATGTATGAAGCTCTGTAAACTGTACTCGAGGAATAAGCATTCACTTGGAAGCACAAACTTCAATCAGTGGGATTCGAGACATGCATTCTGGCAGTCTAATGTAGTCCAGCATTGGAGCTGAAAGACAACGGCGGGCCTTCCGAGTAGAGTAGTTTCCGAGATCTGGACTTACCGGATGACGGCATATGAGATGAACTTCTCTTACCGTTGGTGAGATCTGGAAATTTTGGTAATCCAGGACTAGTATCAGCACCGAAGTTTGTAGTCCGATGTTGGAACTCCACATCAGATTCAACTCCATTTAGCGTCTAAAACAGGCAGAAAAATATTTTCAGTCGAAAAAGAGAAACATAATAACATGGAATCCCAATGGTAGAAGAAAGTCAAGTTATTCTACTTCAATTCAAAAACTAAACACAATAGTATATATTAAGGAAATAAATTTAAATGTTAAAGAAACTTCTTTAAAATAATAAAAAGAGAATATGATGAACAAATTAAAGTAACTACAAACCTTAACAGCTTGCCTCAGAACACGCAAAAGTTCTTTTGCGTGCAGTCTTCTTGCAACAACCTCGTCCTGCTCCAGCAACAGCTCTTCAAAAAGGCTCTCTCTGCGTATTCCAAAAGTTCAGACTTCAGTTACTTGAACAACACGCGTACAGAAATCCCCACAATGATAACAATAAAAAAGAGAAAACCACATTCATATAAGTGCAAGAATTGTGCATTAATTATTACTGAAAAAACATGTTATGCTTGCACATTCTTAAAGATTAAAAGTCAGATAATAGAATTATTCCATCGCTATCCTTTTCTGTTTGAAAACATTTTATTCCTTTTACGATTTGGAAATTGGAACATAATTTTTGGGGGAACTAGAACACGAATATCTCCATGACTAACATTATTTCAAGAGCTCATATTGGAAAATAATGCCAGCCATAGCTACCGGGTGCCGAATAAACATTTTTCCCCATTTGCCTAATACACAATGTACTAACAATATTTCCACGACTAACATTATTTCAAGAGCTCATATTGGAACATAATGTCAGTCACCCCACAACTACTGGGTGCTGCCCAATAAACCTTTTTTTCCATTTACATATTCCGCAAATTGAAATCTAAAACATGATGTATTTTAAAATCAGGAGACATACCGGTACAGTATTTGTATAAAAGTGTTATGAAGGTTTCTTTTTGTATGATTGACCTGAATATTGAAAAAAGGGGTAAGAGGGGCGCATTTTAGATTCATCAGAATAGAAGTTCAAATTTGAAAATAGAAGTTCAAATTAGACCAACATCAGACAAAGGAAATAGTATTACCAGAAAATGCATTATAGCCTTTGGCACCAAGTCTTCAATGCTCTTCCGGACTATATCAAAGTAGGATTTCACAAGTAATTTGGTGACAATAATTTCTGTAGCTTCATTGTCCGACATTTCAAGTGGTCTTAAGATTGAGGGAGGCTGAGATAACCGGCAGCAAACACGAAGGAAGTGAATTTAGGACAGGTAAGATAGTTTTTCTATCAAAGAGAAACAAAGCAGTCTACGGTCTCTCACACAGAAGCACATGGCTGAGAGCATTTACCTCTCTCAGTTGGATCGTTGATGTCATATGTTCTGTTTGATGAAGAGTTTCTTCCAGAGATTCAGTAGCTGCTGGTCCTCTAGATGATGCCTTGTTCCCAAATATTGAAGAAATGCCCCACTTGCTCGTGGATGAACTGCCACCTAAATAACAGTTACCTAAGTTGATGGTTATAAATAAACGGACTTATAAAAAAGTTTACGCAAAGGCCTATGGGTATCATCTGTGTCCATGTTGTAAACTTGTCTAGAAGATTCAGAAATAATAGAAAACCTTTTCTGCAACTACAAAACTGTTTTAATTTTCTGCATTGATAAACTTGGACCCACCAGTCCACCATCTTGGAGATGCAAATGCCATATAAATGAGTTTTTGTTTTTAGTACGTAAGATAGAGAAGTGCAACAGTCTCCATATTGGATGTTAACTATATGAATAAGATGCTTCAACAGAATGTAGCACAATATACACCAATCTCATACTATATATCTTCTGCCACGTGGAATGTTATCATACATATTATACAAATCTTGAAATTTTAGTGCACTCTTGATACACCAAACGTTCTGACCCACATCAATCACTAACACACAAAGAGGGAATTTCATTTTTTTCCAAAATGTAACATAAATTCTTTCAGCCATTGCAGTTCCCTTATTATAAAAAATCAGTTAACCAGTCATACAAGTATCAAGTGAGAGAAAAATAAATAAATGAGACAAACAAACTTTGACTAGCAGTTAAGAGTAAATTACCAGCTAATACAAGTCGCTCATTATTTGACTGAGGACGATTCCCCTGCCACAATACCATCATAGGTTAAGTGCTTAAAAAGGAAATGTTAAAAATGATTTCTAGTTTTGTTAGGGTGCTAAAAAAGAATTTCATTTTACCATCTATGAAAATGGGTACCAAGATATCTTAGCACAGACAGATAAGAAACCTAATATATCACAAGGTAAAAGCCTAAAGCTTGGAGAAGCTTGGAGGGCTTTATGGAAAAAGAGACACCTGGTTAGAAACACCATTCACAACTGATTGAGCAGCAGCAGTTCGGGATATCTGGCCCTTCTCAGATGTAGGTCCCTTTTCAATATCCAGTCTCTCCTGAATGATACAAAGATTAAGTAAATATATCGATATCATGTATGAAGTAAAAAACAAATGTAGCCATTTTTGTTGCAGAACAACTAATCAACTAATAATTAGAATTTGAGAAGTCATGATAGAATCATTAGTTATCAATATAGAGTTGTAATTAATTAAATTCAAATAGATTTTGTCACATGCGAATCAACCTTAGGCATAGATTTCAAATAAATCATTTGCTATTCATTTCTGTAACAATAAAATATATGTCATAATACATGCTTTTAATACAATTTCACATCCCTCCAGCCACACTGAATCAGTTGAAATGACATCTTTCAAATTTAAACTTGTATCCTCAATAACAAAATGCTAAAGAGCTAACTTAAACTTACATCCCTACAACCAATTGGAATGACATCTATACCTTTGATGATCTCATTTGCTGCACAGCTAGCTCAACAGCTTTACTGCCACCAATAAAACTTGGATGCGAAGAATTTATATAATCCATCTGATGTTTAAAGAACACCAAAATAAAAATCATAATCATGCATGATAGAATAATTCAAATATACAATTGTTATAGAAGACATGGTAACTTATATCTTGGTGGATCATAAAAGGGCGTGTCAAAATTAATCCAGAAACCTATACTAGTCAAATTTGTTATATACAGAGGGTGCTAACTAAATCACATCTAAATATAAGTGGATGAATAAATGGAAACTGATAACATTAAAATATCAGTGAACATATAAAGTGTAAAATAGTAAAAGAGCATTGCCCATGAAGATTCACATGCAACAATGAATAAAATAAAATTGCAGAACCACTAAACAGGTCACAACACTGTCTGTAGTTCTCTTAATTCAAGTAGGCTGACCTATAAAAAATTCAACATTTTCATCAAGCATTTTCAAAATTTTGTTATTTTTCTTACTATCCTCTTAACCCAATGTATATTTCCATGAGGGATCCACATGTTCGATAAACGCAACTACATGCATATACACATGTCTACCCTAGGTTTTAGAAACTCCTTGTCATATATTTTTGTGGTACCCAATAGATATTGCTCTGTACACTTATACACATAATTCCTATATTATTGTAGATATCATATAAAGAAAGGATAGCAAGAAATCAATAACCTCCATCTCAATGAGGTTTCTTATCATTGTCTCAGCAGGCTTAGCAGCAGCATCTAAAAACTTCCGTACAACTTCAGTTATGTGCCTTCTTAATGATGGGAACCTCTGCAATCCAGTTGATTCACAAGCCTGGCTAATCTGTTGGACAAAATTTACTCTCTTCATCACATCCACATATTGAACTCATAATTTCAATAGGTAAAATGATCCCAGAAAAACAATAAGCACTGTTCTCACCTTTATCAGTTCATCATAGACAATCCATAGACAATGATGACAAGGGTCTGACAACTGAGCAATTTGTCTTCTAACCAAAACTTCAAATGGAACCTGAAACTCAATGAAATACATGATATATAAGCCACTGATTTCAACAATGCAAAAGTCAAAAAGAAAGCAATTTGTCTTTTACCAAATCACTGTTGTACTTGCCTCTGGGACAAATAGAACATTTCTTAGACCAGAGGAATTTCTAAGGGCATATGCAATATCCTCGTCAGTCAGCTTTTCACAAGGGTCCATTTCCTATATTAAAAAAACAATTAAGCTTCTAGTTTTTAAGCGTGGAAGATTCCAGATGACACAAAAATGATAGAGCATCATTACATAAGAGCTTCAGAAAGAGAGAATCATACCTCTAAGAGCTTCACAAACATTGACTGAAAAAGGTAGTGGATCCTGGCTCCTCCAAACAATTCTTTAGTTGACATCTCCCGACTTTTCCCATCAACCATAGCAGAAAAATCTTTTCCAAAAATGAGAAAAAACGAAATGGAAAACTCAGCAACAGCATAAAATTTAGTGAGCAACATTCCCCATCCCACCTGAAATCTATACAATTTTGATTCTTGTATGCACTGATTTGCAAGATAATAATTGTAAATGAAAAAGAGGAACTGGGATAACAGCCACACACCCCCCCCAAAAAAAAAAGAAAAAGAAAGACAGAGCGGGAGGATAAAAAGCACGCAATAATCGCAAAATCCTATATGTTAGGCTAAAACTTGAATCAACACATATAATTTCTTGATATGCCAAAAATGGAACATATAACAAGGAAAATAAAAACCTCACCATCACAGTATCTTCTAAGAATGTGCAATAAGGTTGCTCCTTGTTCTGCCTGGATATGGACATAAGTAATAATCAGGGATAACTAATGTAACAAAACTAAAAATCCCAAGAGAGGAAAATCAGTTTTGTCTACGAAATATGCTAGGCTTCATTGGGAAAATTATGAATATGATGGTGTAAGGGTAATTAATTTAAAAAAGCAGGCATCACAAAATAGTAAGAACTATTACTTAGACCTCAACCTCAACTTAATAGAACACTTGTTCACTTTCATTCAAGGAAAGCAGGAAACTCAATGATGTTTAACTTCCTAACTCAAAATGTTGGCCAGCATTGCTAACATTACCCAAATTGTGACAACTTACCTTTGATTCCACAACATCTCCATAAGTCTGCAGCTCTTTCATAGCAGCATGCATACGAGAGTTTAGCACAGCCTTCAAACGTGGGAGATCCTTTCTGATATGCTGCTCTAGGATCTGGAAAAAGACAAATCAATCACAGAAGACAAGTATAAAACGTGTAGCAAGGAATAAGGGAGATATATATAATTGTTAAACGACTTAGGAGTTCAACAAAAGGTCGTCATAAACCAACCTGATTCAGCTTCTTTGCCAATTGAGGAATGCCACAATGATTAGAAACACCATTATATACCTTCAGTTCATATGTTTCAAGAAAGAGAACTGTTCAGATTATATGGGAAGTGGGAGAACTTGAAGTCAAAATTCTATTCGAGAGATGAAAAGTACAGGATGATCACCGAAGAACTGTTCCTCATAAGCTAGTGCTTCTTGAATGCTACGGTTTTTATTGATATCCTGTAGCACACAACAAAACAGTTAGAACCTTCACTTCACCTATTCAGTGATTCTGAGAACGAAAAAATGACTTAGCTATATATATATATATATATATATATATATATAGAGAGAGAGAGAGAGAGAGAGAGAGAGAACTCGCCTCCCTCGCATGGCCATATCACAACATCCTTACCAGACTCCCGCTCATTTTATAAACATATTGTTCAATAAGACCTAATAAGCCAAATCCGGTTGCTACAAAGCTAACTCTAAAGCATCTATAAAGGAAAGAATCCACCAAAAATGCTATGAAACAGAACTAGCTCATGGTTGCAAAGAAAGGGGCTAATCCCCATAGTTATCCAATATATGGAAGAATTGCAGATAAACTACAATGGAGCTGCCAACTGCAGCCTTTAATAACTTATACCTCCTGGCAGCGATTCACAACACCAACATAACCAAGTTTGAGTGGAACCACCCTTCCAAGCAAAAAGTTACAGGCATTAGTGCCCCTATCCATAATATCAAGCTGCATGGAAAGATTGCATCATGAGATAGTAATTCAGCAAGGATAAAAAAATAGCAGGGGATGAGAAAGATCAAATCACTAATTAAATTTCTCGCATTCTTTCAAAAAAAAAAGGAACAATACAAACCTTGGTGATTACACCGACCGTCCGAGAACCTGAAAAAGCATATATTTCAGTCCATTGGAATAGAAGAACTCATACATTCGGACATGAAAGTATGAAACCACAGGTGCTTTTGAGTACCACTTGGATCAGCTAATTTAGCTATCTGTAGTGCATCAGATGTAGCTAAATCAGAATTTGCGGGACTGACAGCCAATATGATACAATTTTCATTGTTGATATGCTCCATAATCATTCTCCTAATTCTTGTTTCGATATCACTAGGTTGATCCCCCACAGGAACCTTGGCAATGCCAGGTAAGTCGATAAGGGTCATGTTAAGGACATTGGGAGAGGAAATCTTCAATCGAATCTGTTTTCCTGAAACCCCTTTGTTACAACCTGCTTCCCTTTCAGTCTCAGCCTACACAAGTTTAATCATAGTAAAAAGAAGAAGAAAGAATCCATGTTCATAAATTGAGTAACAATTTTAAAATCTGGCAAAACTTATGAAATTTCAATAGTATGATCTAAAACATCAATGCCACAATCCAGCGAACTTAAAAGTTGCCAAATATTAAAAAAAAAACGAAAGATAAAAGCTGATAACTGAACCTGAATTTCTCGACGAATTTGGGAGAAATCATAAAAGCGGCGGTCGGGCAAGTGGCGAAACTCACCCCACTCGACTATATCGTCATCTGAACTCGGAGGGCGGTTTTCAAGCATTAAAACAAGCGGTCTTCGAGTACAAATATCGCAGCCTCGAGGCAGAAAATCGCGTCCAACAAGGGACTCAAGCACGCTCGATTTACCACTGCTCTGACTGCCAACCACCGCCACTTGAGATAACGATATATCGGACAACTCGGTACCAGAGGAAGCAAGTATGTCACGGATTTTGTTGATCACCGGAATCAGCGACGAACCGATGGTAACAGCAGTTTTTGGAGCAGTCGACATATTGTTGTTTGTATTCTCTGCTTCGTCCATTCAAATCAGAACCAAAAAGAAAAAGAAAAAAGATTCACTGAAAAGAATCAGAAAGGGAAAAAAATAAAAAGCTTTTGAAAGAGCGGAAACTGAATAGTGAGATTGAGAGTGAAGAACCAAAATTTTAAATAGAGTAGTGAATGGTAATGATGAGGTTTAAAACTGTACGAGTGATTGAGTGGAACCGTGAAAGATAAAAATCCTTGGCGAGAAAGTTCCGTTTAGTAAGAATCAGCAAGTCAAATTAAACTTCGTGTTTTTTTTCTCGGTGTTGTGTTTCATTAAATTAATGATAACTATTAAATCTACTAACGATATTCTCTCAATAATTAAAAAATATTCCAATTTAAAAATGATGCATCAATTTACATAAAGAAAGCATTCATTCCAATAGCGCATAGCAAAGGAGAGAAGAAGCCAAGTCTAATTTAAGTTCATTTTCTTTCCATTTTACGGGGGTAAAATCTATCACCAAACAATGCAAAATTAGCAGGTGTCAAAACTTTAGCCACTTTTTCTCTTTTTCTTTGCTAGCGACTGCATTTGATGCGGATGCATGAACTGCTTCAGCATCTGCCAAAGCCTTGCGGGTCTCATCTAACTTCCTCATAGCAGCGCCGTAAACAGCTTTTTCGTTTCTGTTTCTGCTCGCCATTTCCTCTAGCTTTACAACACGTAACTTTAGTTCCTTCACTTCATCGTCATAAGCAACCAATGCTTTCCTATCTACTTTCTTCTCCTCTCCAGAGCCTTTCTTTTGTTGTTTACGTCTTGACCCACCATTTACTGCTTCATTATGCATAGCAAGTTGGTTATTGATGAGGCTAAAAACATCTGGTCTTGATTCCTCTTCTTCTTTTGCAGCCCGAGCAGCTTCTGCAAATTTCTTCTCACGCTTTCTCTTGCCACCTCTGCTTCTTTTCTTATCTTTTTTCTCTTTACCCTCATCATTTTGGTGAGACTCCAGAGCATGATCGAGTGATAGCTTAGGGGGAAGGACTTTAACTGAGATCGGGTCCAACATTCCCTGGCCAGATGCACCTAATCCCATCCCCTCACGATAACCCATATTGGCCATCATCTTAGAAGCTACACCCCTGGTATGATTTTCCCATTTAGCAAAGACGGTAGTTTCTGTCTGGATACCTCTCTGTCGAGCAGTGCTTTCAAGAAAACCTATACCTCTTGGGCTGTCCTCTTCATCAGAGTCGCTAGAATCAGATTCTTCAGAGCTTAGTTCACTTTCTTCATCACCACTCATTTGTGCATATTCAGACAATGTTAGGGCTTCTATCCCGAGCTCTGCAGAGCTTCCATCATCACGGAACACAACTTTCCCCGTTCTAAGTTCATCGTTCCATGATTCAAGTTCAGCTTCCCTCCAGATGCCAACTTTACCATCAGAGACTGCCCAAATACTGGACCCGACCATTGATGGTTCCCACATGGTTGAAGCATACTTCTTCAGTGAAGTTAATGGGACATCAACTCCTGCGGACGTATAAATGTTAACTCCGGTGTATTAGAAGCAATTGCTATAAAAGGAAAGTTGTAAAATATGATGCTAGCAGCAGTGTGTCAATTGATGTAGTAAGAAATGAGAGCAAAGAATACTGTACAATACGCTAGCACATATAGAGGGCTCCATACCACAATCAACTTTGGAAAGAAATGGGGTTATACTAAACACAGCCTTTTGGAGCACACAGCATGGCAACAGAGATCAGTCGTCTAGTTCACCCCCCCACATAAATGCCAGATACACCCAGCCCATGGCAGCATTGAAGGTTATAATGCAAATCTAGAAGTATCTCACAAATGTCTAATTTTACATGTACTTCTTATAGAGCAGTTTTCTTAGCTCACTATCAAGAATTATTAGGGTCCATGCAAAACAACAATTCTTTGTATTTATGATGCTCTCCGTACCATAAGCTCAATGTTTCTTCATATCCTTAGTGCAAGAACATGCAACAACAAAGACAAAGGGAGCTTTTGGGTCACAACCTACTAGTCCATAATACAAAAGACTCTCACATACCATGTGATAAGCGGCAACTAGCACCAAATCGGCATCTTTGTTGCAGAAAGAACTTGCATATCTGCACTAGGGTGGTCTAGCATTAGTAACTGGAAATAGTAAATGTTGCTTAATTATCAATAGAGAATATTTCCTCGTTCCATGACAAAATTACATCCAATTCTCAAACAACTCTCCCAACATCACAGGTTATCTCACTCTGAACAACACGGTTATGTACTTCCTCTGTATCAGCTAGACAAGGATATCAATTGCTTCCAAATAAAACAGAAGTCTTTCCCTTTCTCCTTTCATGGTTGCAAGAAATTCCTTATTCTATGTTGTATTTCTAAGGACGCTTAACGCAATAATATATATATATATATATAAAGCAATAGAGCAGAGAAACTCAACCAAAAACTTGTCTAACTGTCTAACCCCTATAATTTCTCTTCAGCACTTTTCTATCCATTCTTGCTTCTTTTTCTTTCAGATAATTCATAACTTTCTAAGTTTCTAATTACATTAGAAAGAAATATTTCAACTTAACTATTAACTTTCACCAAAAAAAAAACAGAAATATGATTTGCTTACCAACATATTTTCTGAAGTGGGTGTGAGGAAAGATATCTTTGCAGAACCGGAGCCGTTCAATGCAACAACTTGACCTTCATACCACCGGCCGTCACTGTAACGGAATCGACATTTTGACCCGACCTGGTAACTCTTTTCCTCCGGATCAAGAGGCTCCGCCTTAACATCCTCAATCACTGATTGATTCGAAACATCTAACGCTAAATCAGCTTCTCGAAGTAAACGTGCGCGCTTAAGATTAAGTAGCCCCTCCTCTGTCTCTTTGATTACCTCAACAAGCTCGCCGTGAACCTAAACCCAATCAAAGAGAAATGAAATTCAAAAATAATTCAGACTACTTATCGCGACAATTTTGAAGATTTTATGAGAGGGAAAGAGAAAACAGGGGATGGAAGAGATGAAGTACCGCGAGGATCTGGGGATTGAACGGGTCAGACGCGAGAGCATCGTTTAGGGCAGAGAGTGAGTCTCTTTGCTCGTTCAACTGAAGCTCCAGTTGGTCCTCTAGAACCCTCTCTTCGTCAGCCATTGTTGTTTTCTAATCTTTTCTTTTCTTTTCCAGCGTCGTAGGAGTCTGATAAATCAATCAATAGCAAAAATTAGGAACCTTTGAGGTCTTCTCCGCAAATATGATAAAAAATGGTGGTGATTCTGATGAGTTGAAATTAAGGCCGATAGATCTTACTACCATTTATTCCACGCTCTTACCAGGCGCGTCTTTTCAATTAGACAAAGACTAAAAGGTCCTTTATAATGATCATTATTTGAAAGACACAATGACAAAATTATCTTAATGTTTATATAAATGGTAATTCTAATTCCTAATTTTTTAGTACTTTAATCTTCAATATTTAGTTTCTAGTGAAAATAAATTTTATTGTAAGAAAATCGTTAGTTAACCAATGATCAATATATATTATTAATGTAATATTTTTTCATATATTTAATTAGGAATGTTATCTAAAATAATTATATAAAATATATCACGTTAGTAATTAAACATATGTGAAAAATCTCATATTAACAACATGTGTTGAATGTTAATCAATTAACGATTTTATTCTAATATAAAATATTTAGACTGAAGATCAAAACATTTAAACTAAAACACTCTAAAAATATATTATATTTCACATTTACTTTGCGATCTATTTTTATTTTAATACTCAAACTTTTTAAATTCAATTTTATAAATTATCATTTGATCTTTATTTAACCTAAAAAAGTTAATCAAGTTAAAAATAATAGTTAGTATTATTGATCAATAAAAATACACAACTTATCTACTATATTCATTTAGGCCTTTTCTTCTAGTTTGTTCTCCTTCATGGAAGATAAGAAAATCAGGCGGCGCATGCAATGGGTTGGTTTTGGATAAAAGACGCATCGATTATGGCTCTCTAAGCTACAAATCATGACACAAGATTCACTGATCTTCCGTGAGATGAGAACAATCCCTCCAACTTTTTCAGGGGTTTTAATTGCTTCATCTGCTAAAAATCTTTACTCTATTCATCGGCTGTTGTCTGCAAATGCAATATCTTTAGATGTTGAAGAATCTTTATTGATTGATTTTCCATTTCTTTATTTGGGTTTTATCTTTGCAATGTTTTTGTTAGTTTTTGTTTTGAATTTTTGTTGTTATAGGGATGGAGCTACCTTAGGATCCAAGGGATTTGGTTCTTGTAAAATTTATATATTTGATATAATTTTAGTTCATGTAAAAATAAATATTTAAATTTTAAAAATATAAAAGTTTATTAAATATTTAATTAAGTAGGAGTTGAACTAAAGAATGACAAGTATGTGTTATCAAATTTTTAATTTAATTACAATTTAAGTCATTGTAAGTTTAAATATTAGACAAATAAGAAGTTGTTTTTTGAGTTTTTTTTTAAAATTTAGGGTGAATACAAGATAATATATGTACAAAAACTTTCAATTATTTGACAACGAACACTTATACCCTACATACGTGCTTGAACTCGGAACATCAAGGATAACAACAATCTATTAATCACTAAGGTCGCTTGATTCATGCTGGATTTCGAGTTTAAATACTTAACAAATCTTTATATTTTTCTTAAATAGTTTAATATTTCATCTTATACAAATATTTAATTCTGACTCTGTAACTGGTTATTGTGAGATTAGTTCTAGTCCTTTGTTTTGTCGTAAGTTTTTTTTTCCATTTCAAATGTTTCGTTTTAAGGGATCCTTGTTAATCTTTATTCAAAAATATATATAAATATATATATTGTTTGTCTTTTTATAATACTTCGAGGCTTAATGTGGTTTTTAAATTTTCAAGAAAATTAACGTGATATTAAAAATATTGTACTCAATTATGGTTTAAAATTGAACAAAAAGTAATTTGATTTTTTTTAACCAATAAAATCAAATGTTAACTGTTACGATGTTAATTTGATAGTTTATGACATTAACAAAATAATTTATGTTGATGACGTGATAATCTATGGTGGATGATGACGTGATAAAGAGATTGAATTTGATTATTTTAACAAGTTTAAGAAAAAAAATTATTTAAAAAAAAGTTTGATAGTTTATTTTTTTTAAAATATTTTAAATTTAAAATATTCAAACACGTAACATAATATTAAAATAAAAGAATTTAAAAAACTGTAAATCACTTAAAAATACAAATATATCACAAGCTAAAAAATAAAGAATTATTTAAAAAATTAAAAATACTTAAAAACATGTATTATACATTTAACACATAGACACAAAGATAAAATAATTATATTAATATGATCAAATTAACAAAACTAACGTGTTATTAAAATTATATTTTCAAAACAAAATAAATAAATTTATATACATATCAACTATCACTATAAATGTCATATGTGTTTATATCATACATATACACATTAAATATTATTTTATTATATATGAGTCATATTATTAACACTTATATAAAATATTTTTATTAAAATAATAGAGACTTATGAATTTTATATCTAAAATAATTAAAATATATCACAAATTATTCACGTCTATACATATATATCTAGGGATCTGCATGAAACTCGAATCTGATGAGTTTCAACCCGACCCCAATTAGGTGGGATTTTTTTTAAAAAAATTGGGTTCAGATCAGTTTGGGTTGGGTTTTTTAAATGTGATGTTCGGGTATGGTGAAATTACCCGACCCGACCCGGGAAAAAATAATTTTACATTATATATTTAAAAATAATTACAATAATACCCCTCTATATATTATTTTTTCAATTAAATGAATGTTTTTATTGAATAAAATAATATTTTTATTATTATTTAAGGTCGGATTGGGTTAAGTTTGGGTTTTATCTAAAAAATCAAATTAGATTCGAATCAAATAGAGAATATATATTTTTTAAGCCGAGTCAAATCGAGTGAATGATGTAAAAAAATTTGGTCGGTTCTGGTTGGTCGTTGGTCGAAACCCTACCCATCCTATATATATCTAATTATATTTTGGACCATTATAAAGACGCAAGCCCTTACACAATTATAAAGACAAAATTCCGGCTCTGTTAACGCTCGGACAATTATTTTATGCCGGTTCAGAAAAACTTGAAGCGAGTTGCCACGTTGAAGGACTCACGTGCGGATCGCTGACTATTGAAATGATCCTTCGTTGACATTTAACCACTTGTCACCCTCCCGGTCTAGTCATGAAACAAACGGCAAAATAAAATAGAAAACAAAAATCTCAAATCAAAGACTCAATACATTGTCATTCACGCACATATTGTTTACACCTATTGTTGGTTAATCAGTTTAAAACTCATCCCACGCAGCTTTACCATGGAGCTCAAAGTTTTATAGCAAATTCAAAGCCAATTCAGTTTTTTCCCCTGTTGGATTCAAATTTTCAGTCTCCATCGTTTTGATTGGTAATTTAAGGTGATGGGTTTGAAGTATAATGTTGGGTTAGGGTTGATTGGCACAGTTGTGTTTATATGGGTTTTATCTGCAGAAATAACACAGGTGTGCCACTGCCTATTTATTATTATACACTGTTTCATTTGACTGGCTCATTGAATTCTGAAACTATGATTCATGTTAGATAATTTGAAGATAAGATATTTCATTTGATTTGCCTTTTTATAGGGAAAGTCAAAAGAATTTGTTCAATTTCTATCATTACATGGTCCTTTTGTTTATATCTTTGATGATCAAGTTTCAGCTAATCCTTATTATATGTTGTTTGCAGACAATTTTCTCGGAATACAAACAGCCATTTGCACTCACTTATCTTGGAGTGTCCCTTATGGTTGTTTATTTACCCATTGCAGTTTTAAAGGATTGGATCTGCAACTTGTTTAACGCAAATTTATCCAAAGAACTCTACGATGGCAGCTCGGTTATAAACACTTCGATTGGATTCGATGTCCCTCTTAAAATCAATGAATTGCCCCACAGTGCGGAAGCTAACCTTAAAAGATGCCTTATAACTGACACGGATCTTATTGAAAGAGAAGAGGGGCAGCCTCTAGATTTGAGTTCTGAGAAAGATGGACCTCACTTGACTGAACATGGCAGCGGACCGAGTTCGCGGGACATTTATGTGTGTAGCTTATATCTAGCTCCAATTTGGTTTATAACTGAGGTAACATAATTTTATCAGAATCATTAGTTATACCAAGAATCTTGACTGAACACGGTTACTGTGATGTATTGCAGTACTTATCAAACTCTGCTCTGGCAAATACCAGTGTTGCAAGTACAACTGTCCTGACATCTACTTCGGGTCTCTTTACGCTTTTCTTCGGAGCTCTTGTGGGGCAGGACACTGTAAATGTTGCGAAAGTGGTTGCTGTATTTATTAGCATGACTGGTGTTGCTATGACCACAGTTGGGAAGACATGGGCATCGGATGAAATGCTTACTGTCTCTGAGTACGTCGGGTCTTTCTTTGCTAGTTATTTCAATAACTTACTATCCTTTAATGCGCCTTTTTTGCAATCATTTCTTTTTTATGCATTGTTCATGGTGTCTAGAGCTAGAAGGCACTCCATAATGGGGGATATATTTGGTCTTCTGTCTGCAATTTCATATGGCTTGTTTACAGGTAGGTACTTTCTATCTATCTAAATTGAACACTGGCTCTAATCAATTTAATTCGGTGAGACTGTTTCTCTGCGTTATGCTCTATTACCACCTGCTGATCAACTTATGCAGTTCTGCTCAAGAAATCTGCTGGATCAGGAGAGAAAGTTGATATGCAAAAGTTCTTTGGATTTGTCGGTCTCTTCACTCTTCTAGGACTTTGGTGGCTTGGTAAACAATCCGTTAACTCCTTATACCCCAAGTAACTTTGGGCATAAAATACTCATCTTGGATATTTCTGCCTACGATTTGCAGTGTGGCCACTTAATGCTGTTGGGATAGAACCTCCATTTGAATTTCCACATTCAGCATCCGTTGGCAAATTAGTGCTTGTTAATGGCTTTGTGGGAAGCGTTCTCTCAGATTACTTCTGGTATGTATATCAGCCTTGTTTCACTTTCAAACTAGTTGAATGCTACTAGAACTCGATGCTATCAAACCTTTTTCATTGCCTGAATCCATAACCAACGATAGTATCAGTATCTTATATCGGGATTATTGCTTGGATGGCACTAAAAAATCAATCCAATACGATGGAGTTCCAAAGTTTTGTTCGAGGATTTTAGTAATTGAAAAAAAAAATTGATGCAGGGCACTTTCCGTGGTTTGGACAACTCCATTAGTCGCAACATTGGGAATGTCATTGACAATACCACTAGCAATGGTAGCTGACATGGTCATACATGGTCGACAGTTCTCCGCAGTCTACATCTTCGGGTGCATTCAGGTAGCTTAACCGGTATTATCTCCCATTTTATAAGGACAAACCAACAAAAAGCTTCTTAGGTGCCTGATTGAGCCCTCAACTTTCTCAAGCTTAAAAGCATTCATCAGTGTTGGAGCAGTTCTCTTAACCTGTTTCACCACATTCTTGGATACAGGTATTTGCAGGTTTCGTTTTAGCTAACGTGTCGGACAAGTTTTCGAAGAAATCAGAGCTGTAGCGAGTAGCTTGTGAGTTTCGGGAGAGCCTAAACGTTTTAACTTTTTAGATGTAAACAATGAAACAATTGTAGGTGTCTGAACTGGAGCAATACTCCCTGTTGTTATTCGAGCGTTAAAAGGAAAAAGCATGAACAATAAGGAACAGTCCATACTAACTACGCCCCAATATGTTAATCGGACATGCTACAAACAATTGCGACAATGGAGGTGTTGAAACTTGCTTCTTTTCCCTATTATGTCATGTTGTCGAAACAAACCACCATAATCGCAAAGTTTTAAATGAATGCTTTAATAATAAAAAGGTTCAAACCCTAAGGGGGTGTTTGGTTCAAGGATTGATGGGAATCCCACATTCCCATGTTTAGTTGGCTGGGAATCTCATTCCCGGTAATGTTTTATTACCAATAGCAGATTTGTTGGGGTATATTACCGGGAATGTCATTACCTCCCTTCCCTTAGGTATTGTAACATTACCGGCGTTTTGGACTAAAATGCCCTTAAATTATTATTTTTTTTAAAAAATATCCTTCTTCTGTCATTGAATAATACAAATTTTACGAAGGTTAAATTACAAATTTATGCTTAAATTATCTTAAATTTACAAAAAAAAAATCTATAATTAAAATTTTATATAAATTTCAGGGGTTAAAAAAATTTACCCTTTCATTAAACCTTTTTTATATTTTTAATTTTGTAAAAAATATATATAAATATTATGAATTTAATTTTTTAGAGAAAATATATAAATATTTTACCATTTATAATATTATACAAATATATAATAAGGACAATTTGGTCAAATATACATTCCAATAATCTTTTATTCCTTTAACCAAACACGGTAATCTTACATTCCTGCTAAACCAACCAAACACAAAATATAACATTCCCGGTAATCCTATTCCCTGGTAATCTTTTATTCCCACTGGTAATCTTACATTCTGTGAACCAAACGCACCCTAAAGGTAGAATAAGGAACACCATATCAAGACACCCAAAACAACGAAATTTCGGATTTTATCGCCTGAAAATTGAACAAAAATCATGTTTAATATAAACAATATACTTGTATGTACATTATCAACTAAATATATTAGAATTTAAAAATTTAAATTTATTTTTAAAATATTTTAATCGAACCCTTCAACCATTATTCTTGATTTAAATAAAATTTGCCTCTTATTTTAATTATCTATTTGAGCATTAAATGTCAGTTCACATATAACATAAAATAAATAGATAAAATTTTAAATACAACACTGTGTGGTTCTTATTGATAAGATTAAGTCAAGGCTACACCACTGGTCAGGAAAACACTTAAGTAGACTTAAATTAGTCAGAGCAGTTATGTTTAGTGTTAAATTATTGGTGCAGGCAGTTAATTCTGCCTCAATCTATTATGAACAAGATTGAACAACTTTGTTCTCGATTTTTTTGGAAAAGATCTGATAAGGTAGCTACTGAAGCCAGAGTAAGCTGGGAGAAGATTTGTTGCTCGAAATCAGAATGAGGGCTTGGTATAAAGGACATAAAAAACTTGAAATAAAGCGTGTATGATGCAACTAATCAGAAATATCCTTGCGAGAGAGGGTTCTTTGTGGGTAGCTTGGCTCAAAAGCTACATGTTAAAGGAAACAAACTTTTGGCATATGGAAGTTGGTGTAAATACTAGGTGGTGGTTAAGTAGAATACTTAAACTGAGGACTGAGGCTTCTCCTATTTTATCTACTGGAGCAAAAAAGGTAAGCGAAATATGGGAAGAGATTCGAGTGAAGGGTGCCAAAGTTTCATGGCATAAATTGATATGGTTTGCTCTCCACATCCCAAAGCATAATTTGATTGCTTGGATGTCTATTGGACATACTTCCAACTAGGGATAGGCTGCAACGTATGGGGCTTGTTACTGATGGTAAATGTGTTAACTGCAGTGAAGCTTTGGAGACAAGGGATCATTTGTTCTTACAGTGCCCTTTGGCTACTTCTTTATAAGAGGATGTGTTGTTCCTTAACGGCTTGAGGAGATAACCTTTGTCATGGGAAAATCTGTTAGCTTGGGCTTGCGGTGCTTGGAAAAGTAAGCCCTTACTCACAACAATCTTGAAGCTAGCTTGGTGCGCACTAACTTACACTCTGTGGGAGGAAAGAAACCGAAGGTTGTTCCAAGGCTGTTCAAGAAATGCTGATGAGATACTTAAAGCTATTAAGGAAATTGCAGGTATACAATTACAGGGTAGGAACATAAATAGATTAGATAGTATGAATATTACTCTTTGTAATCATTGGGGTATAGTTTAACCGATATTTTTGATTTTGTAAGTAGGACGTTCTTATGTTTTTAGGATAATGATTGTTTTTTGTAGCATAACTATGCTTATTTGGGTAATAAAATGAATTATCTAAAAAAAAGTAAATATATTTATATATATACCATATAAATAATTTAAATCTAACATATTAAAACTATATCACACTATCAGTTTTTAATAAGGTTATTTCTTTCTTTATAACGTGTCATATTAAAATTATACGTACAATGGTTGTATAGTGTTTAAGTTTTATTTATTTGTTTCAAATATTTGTATTAAATTTAAATTGATATTTAATGTTCAAATTAATGATTAGTGTAAAAGAAGAATTTGATTGTTTAAAAATTCAATCAAAATGATTTAAACTTTAAGGACGTTAAGTCGCAATGTAGGGCTGTCTAATGAATTAAACCTCAAGTGAAATAGACGTGAAAATAAACAATAAAATACTAATCCAGCAGTCATGAATTCAGATCCAATGAGAAGGTGCCCTAGGAGCCCAAGCCTAACCCCAAACCAGAAATATTGACAGAAAAGAAAAAGAACAAAGAAAGATGGAGAAAGGCAAAGGAGTAATGGGGTCCGGCCGAAGATGGGCCGTTGATTTCTCCGATAATTCCACCGCTCCGTCGTCTCGTGACATCCCCGATCCCCTCGGCTTCAATCGTGCCTCTGTGGATCAGGTTTCCTTTCTTTTTTTGTTTCAATTTTCTTTAATAAATGCATTAACTTCCAATTTTTATTAGGTTTCACTTCGTATTTTGGCAGGACGATTCGACTGTGAGTCGCCAAAAGAAGGATGCTGAATCCAATTGGAAAGCTCAGGTACTTTTTTTAGTTTCTTACTATTTGTTTTATTTTTCTATATACGAGAGAAGTAAGAAGATGCTTAATTAATGGTTGAAATTTATTTTATAAATTGGTCCGCAAACTTCAAATCAATTATAATTAATTTTCTTTTGGATCTTAAAGATTTGAAGTTTTCAACTTTGTTGTGATTTAACCATGGACGTAGATGAAAATCAATGGATTACTTTCTAATGGATTTAAGTGAGAAATTTTGCAAGTTATGAATAAGCATAATGGATGTTTAGGTCCTTTAGGATAATAAATTCAGATTGAGTTTCAGCATCTGGGTTTTTTCCTTGTATCTAGGGGTGTTACTAGGTATGATTGCCTGACATTCTCTGAAGGGTACATATGATATTTGTTTCTGTATTACTCATCCTAGTTTACTGTATTTATATCCGAGGCGTGCTCTGAAAATAACTTGCTAAGGTCTGTGGCAGAGCAGAAAGCTACTACCTATGTTGTGATGAATGGATCATCAATGTTGTTCCTTTATTATAACTGTGACCCTAAATCACTTCTGAGTTCAGTATGTATGTCAGAGTTTAGAGTGCACTGAGTTTATATTTAACGAGAAGAGAAAGGAAAAGCATGGAACATAGATGTCTTCTCTTCGTGCATAATTGAGAGTTGGTTTTTGGTTTAGGTCTAGTGATTGTCTGATGCACATATGAAATACTATTTGAAGGCAAGATATAGTATATCACACTAACCTTTTAGTTGGTTTAGGTGTTCCTTTAGGTAAGAGTTCACTTTTTGCAGTTAATTTTATTAGGTAAAAGGAGACGTACATTATTATAAGAGGTAACCTGTCAAAATCTGATATTTAAGATTATGCTTATTTTTACTGTTGAACAGAAAGCTTGGGAAGTGGCACAAGCACCATTCAAGAACTTGCTAATGATGGGCTTCATGATGTGGATGGCTGGAAATACAGTGCATCTCTTTAGCATTGGTATCACTTTTTCTGCACTTTGGCAGCCTATAAGTGCCCTTCAAGGTGTTGGGAAAGGTAAGTGGCCTCTTACTACTAATCTTTCTCTAATCCTGTATTATTACATTGTTGTTTCCTTTTGATGTATTCTTTGTTATTTGCGATTTGTTCTATTTAGTTTTGATTGGTTCAATTGTCAAAAGAGGAAAGAATAAGGCGCCTAAGAATAAACCATACCCTAACCAAGGATGAAATAGTTAACCTAAACCATACCCTAACCATGGATGAAATAGTTAACCCTTTATAATTATATTGTACAAATGAATGCCACTTAAGCATTCAGAAGAAACCTATCTGGTATGCTTCTATAGTAGCTTCATTGTTTTTGCTCCATATATGCTTGGCGTCTCTCTCCCTTTCTGTCTAGGCTCACTAGTCAATTTTCTTCTTGAAAATTGTATAAGATGCATAAGAAAGATAACCTAAAAATGTTAAGGTTGTGCCCAAATGCCACCTAAGGCTTGGGATGTTATGTCTGCTATTTCCATTTCTAAGTTGATTCATCTGAATTTCACCTTTTGCAGTTTTTGAGCCTTATAAAGACAGTAAAGTAGAACTTCTTGGACCTAAGTTGCTTTTCATTGCCCTTAACTTGGGTGGTCTAGCACTTGGTGTTTGGAAGGTGAGTTGCACTTTCCTTTTCTTAAAGTTCCTAACGATTTTCTCCTTTGAAAATTATTGAGCATAAGGGAACAAAACCCGAATTATCTAATATTGTGCATTGTGTTTGCTTGGTTTTTTTGGCAGCTTAACACTTTGGGGCTTCTTCCAACACATGCATCAGACTGGGTGTCATCCTTACCCCCTGCTCAGGTTGATCAGTTTTCCCTTTTTCATTAGTGCAAAGTTTATGTTCAGTTCTTTTCCCTATGGTATTTTGCACAATCCAGCAGTAAGGTTTAAGGGGTCAGGGAAGGGTCAGGATTAATGAATATTTCATCTGATCAAGTAAACATGTTGTGATGCTATTGGATTTAGCAGATAAGCCATTTAATGCTATACCTGGTGTTTTACAGAGCCTTTTTACTAATTCTAGCTTTAAATTGATAACATTTTCAGGAGGTAGAGTATTCGGGAGGAGGCATTCCTCTATAATAACGTATTTGTTCATCGTTGGCTCCATGATCAATTTATGGAGGCAGTGAGTGGACTTAAGGGAAGGCTGGTGGAACTTGTGACGTTCTGTTCTGTTTTCTTTAGCTGATGGAGAACACTACATATTTTTATCTTAAACTTTATGAAACATGTCGCATGACATGATTATGAACATAGGTTTGTTTTATTTTGCGACTTGAGAACGGATTAACATCAAAAATAAAAAATTATGTTCGAGGTAATATTTTTCTTATTATTGGGAAATTTTGATTTTGTGACAATAATAGTGAATTTTTTTTATTAGTCCGGGTTGATTATAAGGTAGTATTTTGTCCAAATTTTATTGGCCAGTTGATAATGAATGCACATAGTTGCTTGAATCCGGAACCTTCAAGGAGAATAATATTCATTTTAATTATTGATGTCACTTGATGAGTTCAAAAAGTGGAGTTTTTAAATTTAAAAAATGATATCAAAGTTATTTGTTTTATTTATTTGTAAAATCCAAAAATTGTTTCGTGTGAATTTGACTCTTTAGAAACTATGATAGATCCAAAAATATTTTTGAGGTAGACCGAGTGATTAGCAGAGACAAAAACCTTAGTTGATGTAAAGGTAACATTGTTTTGATGTGGTGTAATGCTTTATTCTTGTATTTCGTTAGCTATTGCCATTATGATCCCACCAAGGAAGAAAGGAGAAACACTTAAAAGGCTCAGCTGAGTTATTGGTAGTAATACACTAGCAAAACAATGACAAATTATTGGGTGGCAAAGGACCATAGACATGATCATAGTAAACTTCTAATATTTCATTTGTTTTCTTCTAACTTGATTGAGTATGAAAATTAAAATTAAGAAAGGGGAAATGGACCCAAAGAAAGAGGAGATGTATGATGATAAGTGGTTAACCCATCAGTCTCTCACTTGCCGTGGGGACATAAGAAAAGACCCCAAGCCACCACCCAATGCAAAAGCAACGCTTATTGGCTTGTACAGGCAAACAGGATTCAAATCATCAAAACCCGTCACTAGCAAAAGATTCCAACTATACTAATGCATTACCCACTACCTTGACTTATGGCATAGGGGGCGGTGAAAACTTGCTAGTTTCCAAGCGCATAACTGAGGATTTATTTGTTTAATCAGTGTTCACACAACAAAGTTGAGAGGCCCTAGTGCTTGCATGTCTTAGCAGCATTGACAATGATAACCAAAAACTTTGACAAGATTCATGGAATTTCCAAGCAACTTCAACTAGTATATGAGTGATGGTGTTTATGAGTTGGATAAGATCATGTATAAAATTTGATTCGATCTAAAACATTAGCTTTAAATTTTGTCCAAATTTATTCATGTTTATAAATAGTTGATCCAAATCCGCTTTTAATGTGTCTATATTATTTTTTAAAAAAAATACTTATTCTATTTTAAATTTGATATTTTTATTAAAACTTCATTTCATCAAGTTTATTTATTATTTTTTATACAAGAATAATTTAAACTATTTATAATATAGTACTATATATTATAAAATTATTTTTATATGATATAAAAATAATATAAAATTATATATATAAATTTAGAAAACGAGTCTTGAATGTTGAAGATTGAAGTCCATTTTTCAGATTTAAAATTATCGTCTAAACCCTTTCAAACTTTCAAGGCACATTCAGACTTTAGATCAATAAATCAACCCATGAACAAGTATATATATGAATAATTAGTATAATGAGTTTACCTTTGTTTTCACTTATCTATAATGATTAATAGGTAGTTATGTATTTCATTTAATAATTATTTATTTAAACAATAATTAAAAACATCTAATAGTTTTTTAATCCGACTTGTTGAATTAAAAGAACTACACCTAATAATTATAATAAAAATATTTCTATTTTTTTTTTAAATAAGAGTGATTCTGATCTATTAACGAATGTAGCAAAAGATATTATCTTTGACAAATAACAATCCTTCAATTATTTAAGTTTCTAAATATCTCGTACAATACTCCTCAATTGTTTGTTAGGTGACAATGTTTTGGCCATTACCTATCTTAATTAGGAATGATACAATGCTTAGCTTCTTAATTAAAAACATCTATTAACGCTGTCAGTTGAATATCTTTTAAAAATATTTTTTATGGATTATGGCATCCCCCCTCCCATGTAATCATGTTTGTATTCAAGATTTTAGCCTCAATTCGGATACATTAAATTTTGCAAGGCAATTAAGAAATTAAAAGAAAAAGGCTTTAATATATATATATATATATGTATGTAATGCAAAAATACTAAAAGACAGATAAAGAAAGCTACTTGGGAGCTTGATCGTTGTCGTAAAAATTATAAACAATTTTCCAGATGCCTATGACCAAAGGCTTTGGCCCTTTCCATTTTCATTTTAGAAATTCATAAAAGGGAAGCCCACCATGTTATTTATTTATATTTCATATTAGCCGGCTGCTGATAAATAAAATAGATCAAACCGTCTGAACACAATAGTAAGAGTATAGTTTGTTTGATTGGGTAATAAGCAGGAGCATGGGTGCCACTATCGTTTACCTCTCTGCTTATGTTGTTGTATGCCTTATCTGCTCTTTGAAGGAGGGCTATGCCTTCGCCTTCGGACGAAAAGCAACTGTAGAGAGCCATACCATCCCCTCCTCTATTTGCAGCTCTGCAACCAAAGGTTAATTAATTCCCTCTCTCTCTCTCTCCCTTTATCTCTTATCTGCGTATTTGTATTCTTGATGCATGGCTTCCACTTTCAGCATTGGACAATAGGTCATCTTTACAAGTCGTTCACAAGCATGGTCCATGCTCTCAACTCCATCAAGATAAATCAAATATTCCCACTCACGCCCAGATCCTCCTTCAAGACGAAGCCCGGGTCAAGTGCATTCACTCGAAACTAGCCAAGAATCTAGGCGAGTCCACCAACATCGACCAGACCGATGCGGCCAGCCTCCCCGCCAAGGATGGAAGCGCGGTTGGCGTGGGCAATTATTGGTTACCGTCGGTCTAGGCACCCCGAAGAAATATTTAACTCTCATATTTGATAACGGAAGTGACATTACATGGACACAATGTCAGCCTTGCGCTGGAAGTTGCTATAAACAGCAGAACCCAATTTTTGCCCCATCACTGTCCTCAACATATTCCAACATTTCATGCACCTCACCGACCTGCAGTTCACTCATTTTTGTAACGGGCAATACGCCTGGATGTTCATCAGCGGCTTGTGTCTATGGCATCCAATACGGAGATTCGTTTTTCTCTATCGGAATCTTTGCTAAAGAAAAGCTCACCTTGACACCAACCATGTGTTCGATGACTTTTTATTCGGCTGTGGCCAAAACAATCAAGGTCTTTTCGGTAGAGCAGCCGGGTTGCTTGGACTTGGCCGAGATAAATTGTCTTTAACTTCGCAGACCGCCGTCAAATACAAGAAATTCTTCTCCTACTGCTTGCCGTCATCTTCCAGCTCAACCGGTTTCCTCAGTTTTGGCTACAGTGGCATCTCGAAATCCGTAAAATTCACAACATTACCTACGATCTCCCAAAGTTCATCTTTTTACGGAATCGACATTACTGGAATAAGCGTTGGTGGCAAAAAGCTACCGATTTCCGCCTCTGTTTTCTCTGCTGGTGGTGCAATAATCGACTCTGGAACCGTCATCCCTCGGCTACCACCGACGGCCTATTCGGTATTGAGCTCTGAATTTAAAAAACTGATGAGCCAGTATCCAATGGCACAACAACTTTCAATCCTGGTATCCAATGGCACAACAACTTTCAATCCTGGACACATGCTATGACTTCACCAACTTTACTTCCGTTAACGTGCCTGAGACAAGAATCTTCTTCAGCGGCGACATTGAGGTTCTGATCGACGAAAATGGAATTTTATACGCTAACAGTATCTCACAAGTGTGCCTGGCGTTTGCAGGCAACAGTGATGACAAGGACGTAGGAATCTTTGGGAATACACAGCAAAAGACACTGCAAGTGGTATACGATGGTGCCGGAGGGAAGCTTGGGTTTGCTACAGGGGGATGCACCTAAGTTTTACAAAGCTAAATGAGAGGAAAATTCTTCAAGTTAGCAGTCAAATCAAATCAAAATTCATATGATAAAAAGATTGGTTTAAGATTGAAATAATCGATACACTGGTAAAAATTTTCATTACTCCTCCATACACGGGTATTTCTCTGCTCTTTCCTACCCATATAGCCTCCAGGAAAATAAAATGTGTGCTGCAATTTATGTACAATAGATGAGGTTTTCGTATGGCTTTCAAATCATAAACTACTTTTCACCAAAATAAACATATCCTGCATTCATCTTGGGCCATAATCTGGCTCGAAGCGGCGGCCTATTATTTGGACCACCCGCGTACTTTTTTTTAAGAAACAAAAATCGATTTTATATAATACCCGAAATACATATAGGACACTCAAATCAAGCTAGAGAATTATCAATAATGCTCATTGAGTCAAATCACGAGCTGCATTATTCGTACCTGGATATTGTTATATATATTGTTGATATAAACAAACATAATCCTCAACGATGAGCAATGAAGGCGAAAGCAAGGTAATATACCTTAGGCGAGAGATTGTGTAGGTGTGTGATGAGCAATGAAGGCGAAAGTAAGGTATTATACCTTAGGCGAGAGATTGAGTGGGTGTGTGACTTAAATTTATTGAGTGGACTCAGAAAATAAAGTATACTTCTTACAGGAGGATGAAGTTATGGGTTGTAAACTAGATGCTGAAAGAATCAAAGGTTTGTGATAGTGAATCCCATCTACTGAAAGTATAGCTTTGCTTGTGGGATATATCGTTGCCATTTGGCAACTGATGCTATCTTCCCTGTGGGATAGGATAATGTAGTTAATTTGTAAAGAAAAAGAAGTGAGTATAAAAAAATAATGTATTTTCAGTCTCAAATGTAATCCAATAATATATATATCTCTATTTGCATATATAAAATGGCACATGAAATAGAGTGCAACAATTGCCATGATCTGAGGCCAAGGGAATTGGATTCAATAAATTTATCGTTAGATCGTACGTGGGCAGAGAGAGAGACTATAATCATTAATTACTATTCATTATAAATACCGACACGACTCAATAAGCTTACCTTCAAATTAGATTGGATGTATATGCAACTTATTTTTTATTGATTGATTGATTTCTAAACAAAATATATAGATTAACCTTTTCTATTAATTTAAATTAATAAAAAGG